CGAGGTTCGTAAGCTTAGGATTTAATGTACCACAAAATTCAGCGTCTTTGTGTCATAGTGCTCGCGGCGTGACCCATGCGATAAATCAATGGTTCCTACTCCTAACTCGGCAGCGTATCCCATTAGCTCATGTTCTGTAGTTTGAAGTTCACCCTGCGAGCATATATGTCTGGGTCAAAAACGGCCTTTTGGAAGAGAATATAAGTGTTTGGGTTTAGAGCATACGTAAGTAGCTCATATCGGGAAATCGGTACCTCGGTGGGGGTAGAATTATAGAATGATGTGTCACTGGGCGGATGCAGCATAAAGTGGCAGGTTGGGTGTTATTTTTGAGTTAAAGGTGGTCAGTAGGTGGGGTCGAAATGAACTATCCCTCTTTATGGTTATGGTTGTGTGGTTTGATACTGGACAAATCATGATTATATCGTGTAAAGGCTATCAATAAGCAGGCGCAAAAGGATCACTGCTTATAAAATTGAGTAAGTATTACAAAGGATGTAGATGTGCTTTCCTAGCCCAAAGTCAAATAATAAATTCATTTAGTTAGCCGCGATCAAAATTAGCATTAATTGGTTGATTGAAGCTTTAAGGTTTATCTTTTTTAAATCCGCGCTTTTTCTATAGAATTTGTGATTGTTACAGTCGATGGTACATCTGAGGTAAATTCAAATAAGGTGCTGACGAATGGTAGGTAGCTGTTTGTCGCTGGTATTTTGTGATTTAAGGCCCGTCGTTATGATACTCGGACAACGATTTTCTCGCCAGAGGGTATGGAACTTACTGGCACATATTTATTTTTAGGTCGTCTGTATCAAGTAGAGTATGCAATCGAAGCTGTTGGTCATGCGCCCACATGTCTTGGAATTGTTGCATCAGACGGCATTGTTCTCGCGGGCGAAAAGCGTTTTATTAACAAACTTTTGGACGAATCTGCTTTTTCGGAAAAGATATTTAGAATTAGCGATGACATAGCTTGTGCAGTTGCAGGCATCACAGCTGATGCTACCGTACTGATAAAGGAGATGCGTCTCATCGCTCAAAGGTTTGAATGCTGCAGTTTTTCACGTCTTTCACTGTCCATTCTTTGGAGCCGCTTCTGTTTGTGCTTAGTGCCGTCCGCTTTTCATTGCCTAGGTACCTTCTGGCCTATCAGGAACCTATACCAGTGGAACAGTTGGTTAGCCACATATGTGACCTCCAGCATGGCTATACGATGTACGGTGGTCGTCGGCCGTTTGGCGTTTCAATGCTCTTTGTTGGTTGGGATAAACATTATGGTTATCAGCTTTATCAAAATGATCCGTCCGGCAATTTTCTGGGTTGGAAGGCCACATGCATCGGGTCTAATTCACCAGCCGCTTCATCTATCCTCGAATCTGACTACAATTCTGAATGCACGGCTGAGGAGGCGGTTAAACTTTGTGTAAAAGTGCTGTATAAGACTATGACAATGTCGAAATTGACATCAGATAAAGTAAGAATTGGTATTGGTTCTTGGTTATTTTTTATCGCTAATCTTGCGACTTCAACAGTCGTAGCTTCTTGTGATTGGCTTTTATATTAACTCTGATGTGGATTTTGTTTTCAAACCAAAGCATCATGTTGAACATTTTGCTTGTGTATTGCATCTAATAAGTTTTAATGGTATTTTCCGTTCAGAAATTGATATCGAACGTTATGCCTAGGTTTGATGCTTGAACATAGCTTTTGAACTGCTTGGCAAATTCTGAGTCCCTTCCCACTCTCTCATATTCGCCACATTTTTCTTTTCACGATCGCTTTTCCCACTTTTTTGCATCTTTTGCGGCAGGTGATTTTTTTACTTTTTAGAATAAGTAACGTTTTTTATACATAGGTTGAGATTGGTCTCTTGCAGCGGAAGGAGGATAAAACGCATATCAAAATCTACCCTCAAAGTGAGGTTGACGCCCTTATCAAGGAGGCAGAAGCTACCTATCCTAAAGTATCGGATTCTTCTTTGAAGAGCTCTGAGGTCAGCCTAAGAGGCATTGAGAAA